TTTGACCATCGGTAAACCGCTATTGACTTAATCTCAAGGATAAAAATACTTTCTGAAACGTTGATATATCGCCTAAATGTGATGCTGATATATTAGGAATATGTTTGAATAAACAGATTTGCTTTTATCAATTGAATAGGAATTTAAAAAAAAATATATGATGGGGGAAACAATTTTCATGCAATCAACAAGGTATGAGCAAATGTCTAGCAAAGTATATTTTTTTTACCTGCAGATCACGGTGAACGTATTACGAGTCTTTTGTATAACGTTAACGTTATTTCTCAAATCAAATCAAGTAAATTTATTACCCAAAATATTTTTTTTTACATAATTCGATAATAAAGTCCATGTTTTCGATTACTGTATTCATTGTGGTTTAAAATGCGCATGTGTTCCTCACGATAATACAAATATTAATAATAAAATATCTTGTCTTCTGACCTTATAAATTTAGAATTGACATTGCTTGTATTCTTTTCAGGAATAAAATAAAATTAACAAACTTTAAATATATTTACTTCTGTATCAAAATTTCTCAGTATTGTATTGAAAACATTTGCACTCAATGTCTGACTCATACATGCAACATCAGCAGAAAAATTGAATTATTTACAAACTTTTGTTGTTTTGCATAGCTGTATGCTCGGTCTGTATGTTTGCTTTATCATGTTAATGTTTATTTTCAGGTACGTGAGGATGTAATTTATATACATTTATAAATATTTGTCGTATGCACTGGAATCGGTAATATGCATATCTAAAATCCACCAGGAGTTCATTCCGTGTATTTGACGGATCTGCTTTAAGTGCAACTATATAGATAGGGATCGACTCATAGAATGCACAATGTTATAATTGATACAGAATATTCCTCATAGTTAAATCGAGTTCGCGATCGAGTTAGGCTTATCTGCATTAGTTGCAAGCCCTTTATCATTTTTTGTACCAAACTTTGGTGCCGTTTACAGGTTATAGTCGTGATTTAAATACATTTTCCTGGTACCCTTCAGCGGACCAAGGTGAATTTAAAACGTCAATATTTAATGGTTGTATTCAAAAAAATGAATGTACAGCATCGACTTTAATTTTTATACGACCGCAAAAATTAAAATTTTTTTGGTCGTATATTGGTATGACGTTGGCGTCGTCGTCGTCGTCGTCGTCGTCGTCGTCGTCTGGCGTCGTCCGGCGTCGTCCGAAGACACATTGGTTTTCGCACTCTAACTTTAGTTTAAGTGAATGGATCTCCATGAAATTTTACCATAAGGTTCAATACCACGAAAGGAAGGTTGGGATTGATTTTGGGGGTTATGGTACCAACAGTTAAGGAATTAGGGGCCAAAAAGGGGCCAAAAATAAGCATTTTTGTAACTTCCAGACAATAACTTGTGTGTAAGTGTATGGATCTCTCTGACATTGTACCACAAGGTTCCTTATCACAAAGGGTAGGCTGTAATTGATTTTGGGGGTAATTGCCTCAAAATTTTAGGAATTAGGGGCCAAAAAAGGGGCAAAAAACAAGCATTTTTCTAGTTTCATGACAATAACTTGTGTGTAAGTGTTTGGATATTTCTGAAATTGTACTACAAGGTTCCATATCACAAAGGGAAAGCTGGAATGAGTTTGGGGGTAATTGCCCGAAACGTTTTGGAATTGGGGGCCAAAAAGGGGCCAAAAATAAGCATTTTTCTAGTTTCCAGACAATAACTTGTGTTCAAGTGTATGGATCTCTCTGAAATTGTACTGCAAGGTACCATACCACAAAGGGAAGGCTGGGATTGAGTTTGGGGGTGATGAATCATAAGGGGGTTCAAAAAATTTGGGGGGGGGGGAATTTTTTTTTCTTTTTTTTTCTTTATTTCCTTTTTTTTTTTCTTAAAAATTTTCCATTTTAAGTTGGTTATTTCTGATTAATATTTAAAAGCAAATAATAATGATATGGTAGGAGATACACACCAAACAGGATGTGTAAATTATTATATAATAAGTATTGTGCAATAGCAAGAAATTTTCAATTGCACAGTATTGCACAATAGCAAGAAATCTTCAATTGCACAGTATTGCGCAATAACAAGAAATCTTCAATTGCACAGTATTGCGCAATAGCAAGAAATATCCAATAGCACAATATTGCGCAATAGCAAGAAATTGTCAATTGTACAGTATTGCGCAATAGCAAGAAATATTCAATTGCACAGTATTGTGCAAAAGAAGATACTTCGTATAAATTGCTTATTTCTTGATCAATTTCAATGGGGTTTTATTCTTGAATTCTTGGGGTTCTTTAATATGCTGAATCTAATCGTGTATTAAGTTTTTGGATTTTGGGCCCCGTTTTTAAATTGGTCCACATTGAGGTCCAAAGGGTCCAAAATTTAACTTTGTTTGATTTCATCAAAAATTTAATTATTGGGGTTCTTTGATATGCCGAATCTAACCGTGTATTTAGATTCTTAATTTTTGGTTCCGTTTTCAAATTGGTCTACATTAAGGTCCAAAGGGTCCAAAATTAAACTTAGTTTGATTTTAACAAAAAATAAATTTTTAGGGTTCTTTGATATGCTGAATCTAAACATGTATTTAGATTTTTGATTATGGGCCCAGTTTTCAAGTTGGTCCAAATCGGGGTCCAAAATTAAACTTTGTTTGATTTCAACAAAAATTTAATATATGGGGTTCTTTGATATGCTGAATCTAACCATGCATTTAGATTTTTGATTTTTGGTCCCCGTTATCAACTTTGTCCACATTGAGGTCATAAGGGTCCAAAATTAAACTTTGTTTGATTTCATCAAAAAGTGAATTCTTGGGGTTCTTTGATATGCTGAATCTAACCATGTATTTAGATTTTGGATATTGGACCATAATAGGTGAATGTCCAATTTAAAATTTTTAAGTTCTTAAGACCACATTCATTCTGTGTCAGAAACCTATGCTGTGTCAAATATTTAATCACAATCCAAATTCAGAGCTGTATCAAGCTTGAATATTGTGTCCATACTTGCCCCAACTGTTCAGGGTTCGACCTCTGCGGTCGTATCAAGCTGCGCCCTGCGGAGCATTTTATTTTTATGTGTCTAGATTCAATATCATATGTACAAATAAATGTTTTTGTCATGAAATATTTCAAATCATATTTTTTCGTAACACATCATGCCCTCTTGAGACCTAAAGTTCTTCTTCTCTGTATGTTATTATTCACGGCATCGAAAAAGAGCCGATATTTTCCACTCGAGACAGTTAACATTATTTTTCGTAAACATTATAATTTCAAAACGCTTGGGTTCATGGCATGACCTGCATTGATGTTTCAGTTGTTAAATATTTGATTTATCTGTTTAAAATATATTACTTGAATGATTATTAAATGAAATGTATGAACACTTTTCTTGTAATCAGCCAAAAAAGTTAACTCATCATCATTTAAGGTTCAAGTATCATAAGTATGCATCCATTCACATTTTTTGACAGTTCAATCAATAAACTAAAAGCACTACACTTTACATTTAATGTGTTTAAACTATGAACCCTTCTCTAGGCCCATATATTACAAATTTTCAAAGCGCAACGCATAATTACTGAATAAACGAGACATATCATTTATACATATATCGAAAGTCGAGCTGGTCTAATATTTGTATTTAAACATTCTTTTATGGAAATCCTTGCTAGCACTGCATGCAGTGATCCTGTATGGTTTCATTACCGAACTGTTAAATATCAGAGTACAAGGGGAGAGGCTGTGGATTTTCTATAAAATTTATATATAGAATAAGAATATTTATGATTCCAATCAAGGGCCCTTGATGGGCAGCATGACATGTACACACAAAACAATACATTGTGATTTGTAACAGAAAAACATTTATTTTTACATTGAAATGAAATATTAAAAGTTCAGATAGATGTTATCATGATATAGCTACATATATTTCTTCATTATATATAAGTCATATACATTTAATTCCAGACAGGACCAGAACCATAAAATATAAGATATTTTTTATTCCAATTTAAGGGCCCATGAAGAACAAAGTAATTCATTACAATGATTAATCAATTTCAAGATATCACCTTCTATTATCTTAATGTTATGCTTGGTAGTTCTGCGAGGTTAACATCACTTTATATAACTCTGATCTTTCTTCTTTACCAGATTTGACCTTCAGCCTGTGCCGCGTGCGGAACGAGATGTTTTTTCTTAATAGAGCATTTGACATCCCTCTTTCATGAAGCTTATATTCTTAATGTAGATTTTGTATTGAATGCTATGTTTTTTTTATTTGTCTATCACATTTGTTCAGAAATATCTAACCATGTTTCGCTATTCTTGCATAACAGTAATATGTAAATGTTAAAATGTATTGTATCAGTGAGATATGATGTCAGATGGGAAACGTTTGGGGAAGTATACGTCATTCCTTATGCGTTGTTATTTACAAATGACATACTTTATGGAATAATTTATGACAGGGTGCATTTTTGCAGATAAGAATAAAGTATTGATACTTGTGTTGTATTACTGTATGATAAGAGGTAATGTATTACAGCCACTATGAAATGTGCAAGTCGTAAGGGAACCTGCATAATATATTTGACAAAAGTAAAATGCATGCACTTGCGTGAATGTGGTACAAAATGTAACGGTATACTTAATTGACTTGAATTTTAATATAAAGAATCCCAAAAGACGCACGGAGATTGGAATCTTTATTATACGACCCTTTTAAGCTAGAAAACGGGGAGGTGGTTATGTAAATCGAAGAACAATGTTCTTGGTTAAATGGAATAAGAAAGAGGTAGGAATACTATCAATAATAGCCTAAAACCCTTACTGTTTATACACTAATATGAAAGATCATTAGGACAATGAACTTATTTACTAGGAATAACAAACATCACACTACAGTTGGCAATTAATCAAAAATGCCAAACAACAAATACGTTGTTATGAATGAATTTCAACTTGTGAACTTTGATAATAAGGATTTTAACCTGAACAATAAGTTATTGAAGAAGTAAGTGAGCTTATACTATAAAAGTATCATATTTTGAACTTTATGAAATTTAATAGATAAGGTTGTAGTTACCGTATAATTTATTGTAAATCTTTTCTGTCTAATGATTTAAAGTTAATTGATGGACTACCATGATATATATATTTGTTTTTTTAACACGTTTATATATATTCAAGAAAAAAATATATAATATCTATTTTAGTATGAAGAAAGGAGCAATGAAGTTTGCTAGGTCTATTACCTTTGTTTACTACCTACTATAAAACCATTGCTAATTAAAACATGTATCATATAGGTAACAAAAGGGTTATTGAAAACCATATTCGAGATAGTTTTGGTTACATATTTTAAATAGGTAATACATAATTCATGGATTAGCTAAAACACAAACAAACTTTCCTTTATGCATCAAGCACACATTTAAATAAATCAGCTATAATACAAAATTTATGGAATAAGGGAGAGTAATGCGACCAATGTGTTGATGACCATCTTAGGTAGTGATTCTTGAAGTATACCGGCATATACCTGAATGATCCAGATAAAGCAGGTATATGATAAGAGCGCATTAGTTCATTTATAGGGCCAACTAGATGTTGAGATATAGGTTTATTGAAAAAAGTATCTTTTAGATGTTGGTATAAACAACAGTCTTCCGAATTTGCCACAAACAAAACCCCCACAGATTTCTGTTGAAATAGTACAAAGCTACTAGTCTTCGTGTTTGATTTTTGCAGATTAAATTACCAGAATGTCAAGTAATAGCAGTTCTAAAGATGACGATTCTGTATGCTTGGAAAAGATGGAACATGCAGCTGTTCCTAAAACAAAAGCACGTGACGGTTGGCAAGGAAGAATGGATTTTATCCTGACTTGCATTGGATATGCAGTGGGGTTAGGAAATATTTGGAGATTTCCATACTTATGTTATAAAAGTGGAGGAGGTGAGTGAGTTAACAAAATATATTTTAACGAAATATCGTTATATTCACAATGATTATGTATTTGAAATTGTCTTATTTAAAAAGATAAAGATTCAGTTAGTCATTGGTCGGAAAAAAAAAAGCAAAAATCTCTACGACTATCAAAATTATAATATTTATGGGGGGATGAAAAGAAATGAAAGAAAAATCACATGTCATTTTCATTATATGTAAGCAGTCGGTTCTTGTTTTTAGCATTTACTAAACATTCATCTACTACACATGTATATTTAAAAGTAACCTGTATGTATATTATCTTTTTTTGGTGAAATAAAACATAATATATAATTAAGTTAATTCGATAAAGGACTTATATTGAGTAGAATTTGGCAACGTTTAGATTTAAATTGATATATGATCTTCAAACAACTACTGGGGCCTCGGTGGCCGAGTGGTCTAAGTAGTTACTACTGTAATCACTAGCCAGTCAACACTGAGGTTGTGAGTTCGAACCCCGCTCGTGCGGGTGCACTCGACTCCAATCTTAATTGACTAGGATTGTCAGTTTTCCTATCGAAGGTCGGTGGTTTTTTCCGGGTACTCCGGCTTCCTCCACCAATAAAAACTGGCCGCCACGAAATAGCCCAAAAGTGGTGCTTAAAAGTGGCGTTAAAACACCAAAAATCAAAATCAAATCAAACAACTACTCTTCTGATGACCTTAAGTTTTGGCTCTGAAACGTATGAAAGACCAAAGAACTATTTATTCAAAACAGTATTAAAATCTTTATTTTCATACGCATTAATCTGACAATATAGTTATCTTTTTTATTTTTGTGTCATTTGGTTGCTGTCTCATTGATTATACCCCGTACCTTAACATATGCAATATGTTAAACATGCGTAAACATCCGCTTTTGGAAATGTACAAAAATATAAAAGCATTATATATGTATATGTTTATATATGATATATGCATATGTTTATATATGATATATGTTTTAACCTTTACATATGTTTTAACCTTATATATATCTACTAAATACTTTATCATTATTTTTCAGGTGCTTTTTTCATTCCATATATAATATTTTTACTTCTCTGCGGATTCCCGCTTTTCTTTATGGAAGTAGCCTTCGGACAATTTTCTAGCCTTAGTCCTGTTACGATATGGCGGATTTGTCCACTGTTTAAAGGTATGATACTATCTAAGCGTTCTTAAAACAATGTCTTCTGAACAAGAATGAAATAATCTATAAGTTTCAAGGTTGTTGATCTATTTGCACTCCACTTACTTTTCAAAGACATATTAACGTTTTGGAAGGCCGAAAAACATACGAATTTGAAAAGCATTTAAAGCCGAAAATTCAGAAAAGAGTGAGACAAATACGGCTAAGGCAAACTATGCTTTGATGTGGAAAAGTATTGATCTTCAAATGTATACGGGGTCACATTATCTACAAATGCAAAAATAAGAACATAATGACGTGAAAAGTATGCCATAACCTTTCATATCTCTCAAATGAGGCAAAAATTTGTTTGGTTGTTTAATATTGAAAAATTTTCCTTCCGAAAATATTTATTGAATTATATAATTAAATTTCTAGATGTTAGACCAAACGTCCTGCTTGGAGATATTATATGTAGGTTTAAAATAATTTAAATTTTTAATAGTTTTTTCAAAGTGAAAATGCTTATGAAATCCCGGGAACTGATAGTCCACCAGCAGAGGTATCGAATCAGTGCTGTAAAAATATGTTTTGTAACTAAATGAACTTTATTTTAGATTGTGTTATTTTCTCCACTGTTTTATTCTTCGCTTTCCGTTTGATTTATTTTCATTTCATATATTTTCCTTTTTTCTATTTAAATAGGTGTTGGAATGGGTATGGTCATAGTTTCAGCAATTGTTTGTATCTATTATAATGTGATAGTTGCCTGGACGATTTATTATTTGTTCATGTCGTTCAGAAGTGTACTGCCATGGAGTCATTGTCACAATTCCTGGAACGACGAGAGATGCGTTGATGGGCTTGAAGGCACATTAAATAAAACGGTATTGAATTTAACAAGTGCCAATCTTACAAAAGTTACAGCAAGTGAACAATTCTGGGAGTAAGTACATCCGTTTTAAGAAAGACACACGTTTTATTGTATTCTTCGACATGACCAAGATGTTAAATTCTATTTTTTCTTTAAGACAGGCTTTAAGTTTTATATTCTCTGGTTAATGTTTACTTTTTTTTCAACATTTTCTTTAATTTAGTTTTGAAAGCTCAACAAATTTCCAGATGTTTATAAGATTTTCTAATTTTCAATTTGAAAGAACAATTAACTATTTAGATAATAACTAATGAACAAGTTTAATGTTTTATAGGAATCATGTTCTTGATATAACTGGCGGTATTGAAGATAGTGGAAGTTTAAGATGGCAGCTCTTTATCTGTTTGTCCCTAGCATGGTTATGTGTGTTCTTATGCTTGTTCAAGGGTGTAAAAGTTCTTGGAAAGGTGAGAAATAGATTCATGTAATTGGTGACAAATGAATAACAGGCTCTACTCTTAAAAGAAAAAAAAATATAATAATATCTTAAAAGTATCCTACAGAAAAATCAGTACTATGTAGTATTATCTACGGGTTTTGAAGAACAGAATTATTAATGATGTATTCAAAGAACTTGCATTTTATATGCAGCAAGTTTTCACCTTTTCTTGTTAAGAGAACGTGAACGTTCTTCAATATATAACAAATTCAAAAGTAAGAAAAGCATTAAACGACAATTTATAAAACAAATACAAAAATACTAACTTTAGATTGTCTTATCCTTTTTTAGTAAAGCTTTTTGGAATTTTCGGTTTATATTGCTTTCAAATTTTAATAAGGAAAGGTTATGTCACTCGTGAAACAATATATATATAGAAGATGATTATTGTTTTGGCAGATAAACTTATTTTTATGCCAACTGTCATGTAGTCATTTATTTCGACAGGTGAACCTTACCATCAATTTGTATTAATAATGTACCAAAATATGCTTTGTAACTTTTGTAGTTTCATTATCATTATGTCATAAACGAATAAGCAATAACACAATCATGTTAGTAGTATATGAGAAGAGTAAGTTGGGAAAATTATATTTTCTTATGTGAACAGATGTGCACAAATGCCAAACGTGTTAGTCATTCGTACTGTTTTTTTTTTTATTTCTGTCAATGTATCATGTTATTTATGTTATATGTTAAACATGACAATACCAAAGGACAATGATAATGTTTAACAACATAATCATTTAAGGCAATGATGGGGTCCACATTTTTAAAAATTTTGTTGTCCATTCGTTTTCGCTGATTTTCTCATCTTAAGTTTTTCATCGAGATTCGTGACGATGCTCTGTTATTGTTTTTTGTTTATAATTGTTATGATCATAGTCTTTTGCTGGGTAATAAATGATAAAATTTACTGGAGTGCTTCATACAGTGTTATTTAAAAAGTATTGATATGTTGTGGTTATTGGTTGTAAGCTTAAAGAACCGGTGAAGTCGATGCTAATAACGGTCTTGTCTCTGATATAAGGGCGACAATAAAAGTGTTGTTTCATATATTTCAGTATTTTCAGGGCGGATCCAGCCATTTTTAAAAGGGGGGTTCCAAACCCAGGTTAAAAGGGGGAGGGGTGGTTCCAACTATATGTCCCCATTTAAATGCATTGATCGTCAAAAAAAGGGGGGTCCAACCCCCGGAACCACCCCCCTCCCCCCTCCCCCCCCCCTAAATTATATTTAAGACTGATGTACTCCCACCTCATATCTTTTCTATCCCTATTTAAAAAAAGTAATGTAATTTTTCGTCTTTCTTTTTGGTTGCAATCAGACCTGGGATAATTAGAAATGTAATTGTAATTACATGTAGTAAATTACAAATTTTAAAGTAATGCGTAATTGAGCATATTTTCAATTACATGTAATTGAAAATAATGAATTACATTGCCTTTTTGCCATGTTATTATCAATTACTTTTCAATTACTTTCAATTACATTTACGTATTTGCTTGGAAATTTAAAACCATTTTTGTTTATCTGAAGTACTTTCACATGTAAGCTGAAACTTACTAGTACTTGGTACAAAGTACTAGTAAATTACATCATTTTGATGTACTTTGAATTTCTTTCTGTATACTTTTATTGTAAATAATCATTATGTTCGAGAAAAAATAATATCTATCATTGATAAACATTGCAATTTTTTAAAACACATCAGAATCTTCATTGTTGTTTATAAAATTTGTTATACATTTTTCATACATTCTCATAAGTGATCTTCGGTTATATTTAAAAAAAAAATGAGAATATGTAACAACTAGTATACCAAACACATATCATTTTTTACGATGAAAACTAACAGATGGTTAGGTAAAATCTTAACCGCACCGACGCACTTACGTTTTCAATTTATGCTTACGTAGTCAATATTATTTACCGAAGGTCTTCTTAAATGTCCGTGAAATATTTTAGTCAATCAAATCATCTAGGATTTCCCAATGCAAGGCATAAATGCTTTTGTCAAGTTTCACAAAACTATTTGGATTGTTTTTTATTTTGAATGCCTAACTTCGTAATTAATATGACCTTCCAACTTTTCTGATTCGAGCGCCACTGATAAAATAATCATATGGCTTCTGTAGCGGATACGCCGTATTGCGTCAAAAAATTTCAGCCTGAGATCTTGGTTAATATTATTTCACCAACTGTTCAAATCCTTCAGTTGATATAATGATAACTTCTTATCTTTCTGCATAAATAGATATATAAATGTACATAAGTGTTGAGCAACAAACAATGAATCATTAATGCTTTCGCATACCATCACATAATTTTAAACCAGTTTGTATCTTTTCTAAATAATTTATTGTCTTCAAAGTACAAGGATTGAAAAATACATTCTTTTTGATGATTGGTTCATTTTTATTCACCATTAGATCTCTTTGAAGCGCCCCTTTTTTAAGACAAAATATTTTTCTAATTAATATCTGTTTTGAAGTTGATGATCACCATTTTATAGATTCTATATGTGCCTTTATAATTACGGTTATTTACCTGCTACCGGATCAAAGTATTAAAGTGAATTTTTATTCCCTCTTTATTATCTTCCGTCTTTGTTTTATGCTTTTTACATAAGCCTGTTCTAAAGGTTTTGTTACTTTTCTAAAATCTTCATTTTTCATTTTTCAGTGAAAAGTCTCTCCTTTGTATTATAAATGAATTACGTATTACAATGTTTGCTATATTAACACTATTTTTGCCCAGTACAAGAGTTTGATTAGAACTGTTTTTAATCAGGTGATGCATTTTGCTGCTCCTTTCCCATACCTTGTTCTATTAGTGTTATTGATTAGAGGCCTGACGCTGCCGGGAGCTGTAGAAGGTATCAAATTTTACATAATTCCTAGGTGGGAGAAATTAGCAGATTTTCAAGTAAGTATTCTGTTTATTTTTATTTGTACGCATTCCACTGTCACAATAACAGTTCTGTAAATGTAACTGATAGGTTTGTAAGATCAGAAAGTGAGGTGTTTTGCTTAGATTTTTATATTTATGTTCACATACCTGCCAACTTTTCAAAATCTCCATGGGGGATTTTAATCGCAGGAGGACCTATTATTCCTCTTATATTGTCATAAGTGCTTTTAATCCACTTCTATATTGTTTGAATGAGTATGTTTGTGCTTAAATATACTTTTAACTCATTTGAATGCTTGTTTTAAGGTGTTCAGTTTGATAATAAAGAATTTCAAAATTCAGGTCAACACCTCTCATGGGTGTTACGGTGTCCCCCATTAATCGGGATAGTTGGCAGGTCTGTTAATTCATTGAGACTTCTTATTTGACTTTCTAAAGTTTTGACCTCTTATGAACCTAAACAAGGTTATGGTAGAAACACTTGTCCTGCGGACTGAAATTTGTATCATAGATTTGTTCTAGACCTTTAGTGATTTGTATGGGTTCACATACTTCTTAGTCATTTTAATTTGTTAAAGACACATGGTGACCTCCAGATGCCTTTTGATTTGTTTGTGTTGTGTTGCTCCGTAACAGACTTATAACTCACGGATTTACATTTAAGTCAGAATTACTTATCACATCGTATCAAACATCAGATGTCCTTTATCAGTGGTATACAGTAGAAATAACATTTATAATGCTACTAACTGTATCTTAAATAAATTCTCTACAACAGAACCGCCAAAACTAAACTAATTTTGAATATTTTCTATTATTCTATTAGGTATGGGGTGATGCTGCTTTGCAGATATTTTATTCCGTTGGAATGGCATGGGGTGGTATTATAACAATGGCCAGTTACAACAATTTTCATAACAATGCGTACAGGTAAACATCAATGGTTTCCATTAATTTAATTTTTCTATGAGTTGAATATTTCAATGTCAAAATTACTTTTTTGGAAAAAAGCGCCAAAATGCACATATTCATTAGTGTTTTATTTTAATATTTCAACCTTTTCAATTTTACTTTCCCAACTCAGAGCGTTATTCCAAAAAATGAGAGACGAATAATAGCAAAGGGACAATAAAAAATCATATGTCAAAGAGAAACCGACAACACGATTGTAAAAAACGAAAAAAGTCGTAAAGACAAGCAATGGTCAACAAAACACTACATAGAAAACTAAAGACTGAGCACCACGAACCCCACCAAAAATCGGGGTGATATCAAGTGCTTCTTAATAGGAAAATCCAGAATAAACATAAAAAACAGTAGATTGTGTATGTTGTATTGTAGGTTGATGCATAAGAAATAAGTACAGAAATCAAAAAGAAAAATAATAGAAATATGACGGAAATTGAAACTTAAAATTCCGAAAACTCGATGTGCGTTTTTGTATTAATAAATCTCAGCATTGGTTATTCCAGTTATAGTGCCTATCGGAAAAATGAAATGAGTAATTTAAAATGTTACTATTTTAGTCCAATCAGGCATTTCTGTGATGATAATTTAAAAATAGGTAAATTGTTTTGCATGATATCAGCAGCCGTACCAGATGGCATTTTGATTTGCTTTCCTAGTATAATGTGTTTGATTTGGCTTCCAACTTTTTTATTCTAGTGCCACTGATGGGGCATAACTATCATAATAATTAAATGGAGAGAAGAGTCGGTTCATCTGATTATATAAAGAGGGATAACTCTAATATTCCTTACTTTTTACATATAAAATCTAATTATAATCTCGGATGAAGATAAAAAATGAGACACATATCTGTATATTTACTTTATAATATAGAAACATATCAGTTCGGTCCTTTGTATGAATACTAGAAGGTTACTTAATCAACCTTCGTAAAAGAATAAATTGTTTCCCAATATTGAAAAAAAGTTTAAATAAATTAGACATCCTCATTTGAGATATTCATGGCAAATGGATAGGTTTATTAAAGGTATGTTTAAGGAAACTTTCTGTTATTTCTTAAAACAATGAACAGATGAACAGAAAATATGTTTCATTTTCAACAAAACACGAGATTGACACACTCTCTTACATCGCAATAACTCTGGTTTTCTTCCTAACATGTTAATTTAGTGCTCATTTCGACCGCTCTCAATTCGAAGACGGTGATTGCTAAACCTAAATCTGGTGAGCATATGTTTATGTAAGTCTTATATTAATTTTTTGTATTTGGTTTGATATGATTTCAGAGATGCTATGTTAGTTCCCATTATTAACTGTGGTACTAGCATATTTGCAGGATTTGTGATTTTCTCTGTATTGGGATTCATGGCACATACAGCGGGTACAACTGTAGATGAAGTTGTTAAACAAGGTAATTATGGCATATTTACAATTTTCAATACATTCCAGATTTATTTCTGTAAATTGATTTTCTGAGAACATTTCGGAAATATGCCGAACATTTTCACAATGGTTTTGATTTGACAGCCTGCTCTTTTATGATAAAAACCATACTTATTTAACTAATTAATAATAGAAATTATTTGGCTTATGTTCAATGTACAAAAGCACACACATGGGTCATAAAAGTCTCTTTAAACATGATTAAAACTTTCAGATTGATTGTTAATAGTTTATTGATTGTAGTATATTTATTCGTGAAATTCTGATCACTTACCCATTAATATATTACAACATAGAAGAAAATAGCCAACTTTACAAAATATTTAAAGTATTTATTTAATACCAAGGGGCCTTTTTTACCTTACATTTTGGATGAGCAAACTTTTCTAAGTTAACAAATGATCAGAATTGCTGGAGGTAAACAAGTTTGAAAAGCCAACTATTCATAAAAACACGATGACCAATGCAGTCAAAAGGATCGAAACGTATAGCAATATTCTAGGTAAAATTTGTCTATGGCAGTTAATAATTAAGATATTGTTTAAAGCACTGCCTATAAGGCAAGTGATATCCTCCAGAACTAACAATCTAATAGAAGTAATATTGAAAAGTTGGCAGTAATACAATTGAGGATATCATTATCCCCATGATTTATAACATATATTTTATATTAAAGATTTCCATTGTTAAATTTAGAAATTGTAAATAAACTTAAGTTCCAAAACCCTCCGGCAAGTTGACCTCATATGGTTCCGGCTATTCTATTTAGATCCCTATTGCTCATGTAGCTTTCGAAGTATTTATTCATCCTTGTGCTCAATGTTTTTGTTTTAAACGTTCCTAGTGAAAGGAAATCCAGAAAAGCACTTCGGGTGCACCAAATTAATAAAGTGTTATTTTCATTAACGTAATTTACAATACCTTATTTCACTATAATGTAATTTTTTGAAAGCCTTAAGCTTCTTCTATGTTAACTATCAACATAATCGTTTTCTCATTTTAAAAGAAAGGTTTTTATAGTTACATTGTGTTTATTAACATATTTTAGGCATCGTCATTTTGTATTTTATAGTGATTGTTTTTTTTTCAATAACCTTTTCCAGGTCCTGGTCTTACCTTTGTTGCTTATCCTGAGGCCGTTGCTAAACTACCCATATCACCATTGTGGGCAGTTTTGTTCTTTCTTATGCTATACACCATTGGACTTGACAGTCAGGTAAGTTTTGAATCATTGTTTCAATATAACTCCCAAGTTCTGAAATCGTATACGATAGAAATGCTGGGAAATATTGAGAACAGATCCATACTTTCGTATGAATCTTGAATTTTACCTAAAAAATTACAGTGGTGTTATTTCCATGCTTCAGATTTTGATTCTTTAGAAAACTAAGAACCAACATAACAGAATAACATTTTCAAGTGTTTCAACTTCTAAAATAAAACACTAATGAATATGTGCATTTTGGCGCTTTTTTTCCAAAAAAAAAGTAATTTTGACACTGTTATATTCAAAATGTTGTGAACATTTTTATTTAATTTATTTGATGCATGGAAGTTTAAAATTGCTTTGAAATAAGTTTTGCAAAGTGTTAAAGTAATTGTTTGACTAAGTTGACACCATTGTGATTCTCAATGTGTATCAAGAGTTCCGTGAAAAAAAACCAAACATTTTTATAATAATAACTTATTTTGGTACCTTTAAGATTGATACAGATTTGAATACTTTCACTTAAAACAGTTATTATTATAAGTTAAGGTATGAAAGGAGTATGTACTTTATGAAAATAATATTATAATTGTATTTTTTGTTTATTAAGAATTCATTGTTATTTAAGAATGTATGCAACACTACATTATATATACTAGTGTAGATTAAAAAAAAATAAAGATTGTTTGAAATTTTTGTGTCTATCTGAAGCTCTCGGTGAAATTAATTGTATTATACTTTCTACAAGTAATTTAGACGCGATTTGATATGTAAGATAAGTACATTAAGCTTTAATCTATATGGAAAACATATATTGAAAGCGGATCAGTCTAAAGATTGCCCTCACAGACATTGTGAAAGTATCTTTATTCTTAGATACCAAAATTCGTGGCAAAGGTTCTTAATTTCGTTGATTTCAGCATTTCCAGAATCATATCAAAGGAAAACAATACTTTTTGTTTGGTTTTGACTTTCCTGGTTTAAATGGATAACGACACCGACAAAATAGGTACTTCATGAGGAATAACACTTTGACCATGATAATATGATTAGATACGTTAAGAGACGGTTTATGTAAAATATGAAAATATATTTATATATACAAATAGCAAGAAATAAAATGTTGAATCTTAACGTCATTGAATGTTTACATACGGTTTTCGTTTTTTAAGTTAAAAAAATTGTGAAACTTTTTCTCTCATCTGTACTGTGTTTACTATCCATCGAATAGAAAGAAAAAAAATAAGCTGTTCAAGAAAATGTTATGTAAACTATGAGTGTTTTAGTTTTATTATCGGAAAACTAATTTTTGTCATCTTGAAATATTTACTGATGATGGCATTCTTTTCTTTGATTACATATTTTGTCTGAATGCACAAGTTTAATACCGCAGTCTAATTTGAAAATACCTTACCATTGATAACGTGTTTTTTGCAATAAAATAGTTATCGTGCGTAGATGAACCTTCTTCAGTAATAGTTGATGACCGTACAGTGTCCTGTGGTTATTCACATCCTAGTTATTAAGGCTCTGGTAGATAGTTTTTTCATTCACAGTCATTCGACATCCCCTTATTTTTATATTGAATAAATGTAATGTACATGAATTATGAATCAATATGGATAAAATAGTCATGTTCTGAATATAAAAAAGAAGATGTGGTATGAATGCCAATGAGACAACTCTCCACAAGAGACAAAATGACACAGAAATTAACAACTATAGAAGTATGTTTATGTGTTTGTTTATATAAGTCAAAGTTTACAGGCTTGAAATAAGACAATCAACCTATTATTTGGACCTCTTCCAAAAGAAGTTATAAATGTTATTTGGTAAATAATAAACAAACATCAGTGGCGTTTGATCATAATATGTTTGTTTGTTTCTTGTTACTCGGATATAGGTCATTTTCTTTTACCTGTTAGAAAAAAGATAGACTCTTCAAAGAATGATGTGATAAGTTATTATTCAGAATTAGATAGCATACCTTGACATTTCTGTATTGCAATCCTTAAAAATATTATCCATTTGCTACGTGTCATAAATCTTAACTTCTGTTTGTTATACATGTTACCCAACTGTTTGGAGATTTCTTACTAAATATTCAATTGACAACAAATTTTACTCAAATATTTAGAAGTATAAAACCATTCTCAACATCTTTAAAAATATTTTATTGAAACTATGTTTTTTTTTTCTTTATTCGCACTAATTACTTTTCTGACTTTATTAAGTCTACTCGAGCAGTTGGCTAGTATATCTTGCCTTTGCATCAGCTTTATTTTCAAAATGAATAAGACATAATATATTTGTGTAAGTTAATTTATAGATTGACGTACTTACATATACAAGGGACAGTAAGTATACCATGGTTTCATATTTTTTTTTATTTTGAATTGTTCAGCAGCTGTAAATTGATTTTTTTCAAAAGCAAGATTCAAATAATGTTCTTAAGTCTTAGAAGTGTAACTTTTAGCCGTATTTGTTAGATAAAACATAATAATACTCACCCCGTTCATGAAATTCTTGACTTAATTCAATTTATCTTTCGAGTCTATGTATATTTAATAACTCCAAATATGTTCTTTATTAGTAAGGGCTGTTCCAAAAGTTGGCGGGTGGAAGGGGGAAGGGGGCGGGGTAGGTGGTAGGCACTCATAAATTAAATATTGTTGGTTGCATTTTCTTATTTTAAAATAAATTTGAATTTAAATAAACATTTTTATTTATGGGTGGTCGAGTTCTTAAAAAGTGCCTCACATACCCAGAACGCGTTTAATTCTGGAACAGCCCTAATAAGATACAATCATATATTTTTATTTATTAATTTCATCTATTATTATCATTTTTTATATTATCACATATAAATATAAAATATTTCATATATTATACATAAAATAAAATATTTCACAGTAGTGAATAAAGTGGTTCTACCAAAACACTGAATGTAGTCCGGCAGCACGGCAAATACAGTCAAAACTGTTTTATATCTTAGATGAGTTAAATAAATATATCATACCAACTTAGATATTAATTGTTCCGTAATATTAATAAGTTTCCTCTGACTTTTGTCGTATGAAAGACGAAATTACTGTGTATTGAGGAAAAGGAGCTTATACGTTGGTTCTATTGTACAGTATGTTCTTTTAACGCAATATGAAATCATACCAAGTCTTCTAGTGTCATTATCATTCAGTTTTGTTTTGGGGGGAGGGCTTATTACTTTTGAACCACTTTATTCTCGAGTGTGACACCTGTACATCATGTACTTTTATTCAATATAGACGATGAATAATGTATATAAGTTTGTATTTATTGTAAGCATTTTTATATTATATAATGTCACAAGTGCTGTATGACTTCTAAAGTTACCACTGTATTAAAATAGTCAAACTAGGTAGCTTCAATATTCGAGTGTATGACTATATATATATATGTAAATGATGAGTGTAAATGTTACAATAAAGTCGCATTTTCGCTATTGACGTTATATATCATTCAAGTTAAAACAAAAGTATTCAAATCTGTATCTTTTATATGAAAAGCTCTAAGTATTCTCCAGCATTTTCTCTCTTGGAAATGGTAAAATACATTTCTTAACCAGTCGTATCTACAGAAAGTAAATGACACTTATGCAATTTATAAATTTAGATAAATATAAAAATCCTAAAAAGTACGTAATGGTTCAAGTGAAATTGATCTTCACAATCAAATAGGATATATCTATATTCTATCGTTGATATTGTGCGACATGTTTAGTACTTTTTTAACTTAATTTATGTGTGATACGTCTCTATTTCATGAATCAAATTGGAATATTACATGATGAAAGATCGGAAATTTTATAACTCCTTTCTCTACATATAAGAAAAGAATTCTGTTGATTTATATAGGAATTGATCAAACGAAAAAATATTGATCGAGGCACGTCATATACATGCCAAAATCTGTATAAATTTAACTTGTATTGTGTAAAAGTGTGCAAAATGAATATAGGTTGACAAATCTCTTTTGATTTTATTAGCATTGGCTGTGGCTTGTTTCCTCAAGCTATAATTGTCTTGGTTAAATGAATGAATTTTCAAACCAAGTTTGCATGTATGAACACAGCTTAAAAAGAAATTCATTTGCATTGCGGTACCCCTTAATATGTTATAATTAAATAAACTTTTACGTTATCTGATCTCGGCTTGAGATTTGTCTCATTGGCAATCGTACCACATCTTCTTATTTCTATATAAACAGAAATTTCGACTGTCATACATCTTTTCAACTTTTCATTAGTAAAATGTAGTACCTAAGAAGATTCTGATGAACATTAAATTAATAACATATGATTCAAGTAAGTAAAAAACTAAAAAAAGGATGTAGATGAATTAAACGTACTCTAATTTATGATATTATTCATATTCAGCTGGACCTGCCTTTGGAAAATAACACTGTGCTTGTATTCTCCATGCATGTGTTTCCTGTCCAACATGCAAGTTATTGTATACAGATTTTATATTTTACCGAACATTTACTTCCATCAATTTTGAACTAACAATATTTTTAATTGTGATGGACATTTAAACTAATGTATTTATAAACGATACAACTTTAAAGTTTGAGTCGGTTTCAAACTTCTCTAAAATCCAAAATTTTGTCTACCATTGATATTTCAAAAAAAATCAACAGTATACTGAATTACTACAGTATACATCCAAAAACCACAAGAGCTCTTTTCAATAACCTAATTAGAAAAGTTCAAATTATGGTAAAGCATTTAGAAATTGTCAGTTTCTTCATTTTATTTTCTAAACTTGAAATAGATAAATATTTAAAAAAAAAAAAGCTTTATTTTTATGGAAAACGATTTTTTTAAATGTGATTTTGATGACAATTTTCATTTTTCTTTCTTTTTACTTTTTGTTAAAAGACATCTTAAGATTGAAACTTTAAACGAGAATCAATGTTTTCTTTTCTCTTAAATTGAGATGGCAAAATAAATTGTGACCACTTAAGCCGGAATAATAATTATCATGCTCTTTAATTCTACAAAGACAGGTGAAGCAGAATCATCTATGGTGCGTTGACTGAGGACAGGCAACAACGTCCCCAAATAGGTTTTTATTGTAGTTATGAGGTATTAAAATGAACAAATACATATGTACTAAAACAAAGGTCTGGAAAATTGGAATTTTCTACAATGGAATTTTACTTTTAGAATTCACATCGTCATATTGGCCTGTTATTTAATTATGAATTATTTGCTTTTGATACAGACAATTTTCCAGTCCTTAAATGATACACATAGTAATAAGATAGAGTGTCTTAATGTGATTTCATACATTTTTCTATGCAGTCATATTATCCATTGGTGTTTGTTATACAGAATGTTCTTTACCAAACACTACTTCTGTTTAAAGTATTTCTAAAATCTTGTTCTATCACTTTTATATCCTCGTTACATATATATGTATTGACTTTGTTTTTCTGGGTTGTTAATAGATTTAGTAGAAAACAGTTCTGAATAACATTCATCAATAATGTAATATTAAATGGACATACTTTTAGTTTCGTTTTCAGGAATTTTTACAACAATCCTTTTTTAATAATCTTGTCTCTTTAACTGCGAAATCCCACCCTCCCAATGGTTTATAAATATATACCATATTCATTTATATGTAATCAAGATTTCAAACTTATTCAGAGCTTTAGCATAAATGCATTCATTTGTAACTGTTAAATTAAGGATTCAACTCTTGATTTAAATAGTTGATTAAACATTTTATTAAAACCCAACCCCTTCTCCTTTCAAACTTAAATATCAAACCGATAGACATAGTGTCAAATATTTGTAACTTCTGTCTGCTTACCATTATTATTCATTTCTACTTTTAGTTCGGAATGTTTGAGACTTGCATAAGTTCATTTATTGACGAGTACCCACGATTACTCAGAAGTAAGCGAGTACTTCTAGCTGCAGTTGGGTGTTTCGTGGAATTTCTTCTTGGATTACCATGTATTACACAGGTATTTTACTATTCAACACATTTATTTGTTCTTATACATTGTGTATATGCATGAAAAGGAAAAAAAGGGAGACGCAAATAAAACATTATAGACGGACTTCTATACAACACTCGTATAATACATTGAATGTCATAATAATTTGTTAATTGTTTCTTACTTACCGTCCAGTTCAACTATTCCATGCATAATCAAGACAATCATAATAAATGAGATTCACATTTCCAAAAAGATAAACACAAATTAGAAATGGTAGAGAAGATCAGCTAGCTACGTTATAAACCAATACAGAAGTAGATCATTTGTAAGCGTCATGTTAGAACAACCAAATTGGACATCGTTAGAGGAAAGAAGAAAACATACATGTCTAACCATGGTATAGAAGATAAGAAACCAGGAAGTAAACATCACAGCAAGTCATTTACTCATACCACCAGAATGAATCTCCAGAAATATGGCTCAAAACTCTTTCTGGTACCATCATGTAACACCATAACGAGGAAAGAATCGTTCTACAAAAAACCATTAGGGATTGGAATACCTTACCCTACTCAGTGACATCTGTCAGTAGTCTTGAATCCTTCAAAACACTCCTGGTTGAAAATCAAATCTAAAGTCACTTGGTTCTTAGTCCCCTACCGACGAAATCGAAGGGGACTTTAGGTTTGCACTCTGTCTGTCTGTCTGTCTGTCTGTCTGTCTGTCTGTCTGTCTGTCTGTCCATCCGTCAGTCCGGTAAATCAGTTTTCCACACTTGATTTCTTCATGCTTCAAGATATTGATTTGATATTTGAGATATAGTTTTATCATGACAAGTTACAGATCAAGTTTGAATTTTGTTCCAGTCTGATGATTTTGTCCAGAGTTATGGTCCTTGGACTTAAAAAATTCACTCAAATAACTGGTTTTCCGCATTGTTTTTCCCTCATGCTTGAAGATATTGATTTGATAATTGGTATATAGTTTTATTATGACAAGTTACAGATCAAGTTCAAATTTTTGCTGGTCTAATGATTTTGTGCAGAGTTATGGTCCTTGAACTTACAAAATTCACTCAAATAATCAGTTTCCCACCTTTTTTTTTGTCATGCTTGAAGATATTGATTTGATAATTGGTATATAGTTTTTAGCATGACAAATTACAGATCAAATTTGAATTTTGTTCTGGTCTGATGATTTTGTGCAGAGTTATTGTCCTTGGACTTGGAAAATTCACTCAAATAATCAGTTTTCCACACTTTTTTCCGTCATGCTTGAAGATATTGACCTAATATTTGTTATATAGTTTACACCATGTTAAGTTGTAGATCATATTAGCTTTTTTGTTTCAGTACAATGAATTTTTAACCGGTAGGGGACTATGTATTGCCATGCAATACTCTCACTATGCTTGTTTTTTTAACCCTCACAGTTAAATATGTGTATAGTACCTTTATGTTGTGTTCTTGTTTTATCAAAATTATTATAAGCACATCCAGAAGTGACAAAATAGTCAACCTGATGACAGTGGTCACTCAGCCGTAGAAGAACATTTTTTTCGAGATTTAGTAAAATAATATAAATGTTATATCTTATGTGCAATATATGTAAAAATGTTTTATAACAATCATAATGGTTCCCATGATGTAGTGTATGCCGACATTTGGATACGTCAGTCAGTATGTACTTTTAAATATTTTCTATATGTTTTCTTATTACAACAGTAAGAACTTCGGCATCTGCAAGATAGAAGCGATACATTTATGACGTAATCCAGTTTATAAATTTAGTGATTTAGTCAATAACACTTAAACTACATACAAACAAATAATTTATTTAAGTTTAATTAAATTAAATTTTTGATTTATAGATTTATAACGATTTGAAATATATTATTAATATAACTAGGTATTCCTGTTTAAGATTTCATTTTTCGAGTCACACAGTTATGTAAATTAAACGGTTATCTATGCAGTAAAATAGTCAGATAAATCAGATGCAAGCATTTTAATTTTGGAAAATGAGATTCTAGTTGGTCCAGGATTAACTTTGTAGTACTGTCTTGAATGGAAAATATAAATACAAATGCATTGCATTATCCACATGTTCTCTTTAAATAATAATATCAGTTCATTTTTCTGCTGGTACCTTTGTTTACCTTCTAATTCTAATATCTAAAACGAGAACGGAATAATTAGGTACATTTAAGTAAGGTGACCTTTGATCAATGAATAACACTCGTATGAATAGCATATATCACAGCTTCCCGTAAGAATGGAGGTATATCCCATCTTAATCTTTTTTATGTCTCCGCCGTAGCGGAGGGGGCATTACGTTTTACCCTTGTCCGTCTGTACGTCCCCAGAAATTTGTTTCCGTTTTCCAACTTCAGTTTGCCTCAACTAAATGTGATGAAATTTATACACAATGCTTGTTACTACAAAACACAGAGCAAGTTTGAATTTTGGTGGCGTCACTTTTACCGTTCTAGAGTTATGCCCTTTACAAACGAACAACTTGCTGAATTTTTCGTTTCCGTTCTCTAACTTGAGTTTTCCTCAACCAAATGTTATGACTCATATACACAATGCTTATTACCACGAAACTCAGATCAAGTACGAATTTGGGTAGCGTCATTTAAATCTTTCTCGTTAATAAAAAGGGCCAGTTGCACGATATATAAAATATACAACTTAAGTAAATTATAAACAAGAGAATGCAGGATAGGACTATTCGATTCATACTTCTTGTCGTTGATTTTGTTAACTGGAATAAATTACTTTAAAAATTAAACAATCTTATTAAAATATCTGAACTGCTAATCAAGGAAGTTAAAAATTATCGTATGCTCACTAATTTCAGGGAGGAATATACGTTCTACAGATTATGGACTGGTATTGTGCAAGTTTCTCTTTAATGATGATTTCACTTATAGAATGCCTTGTAATTGCATGGATTTATGGTAAGCGCACAGCATTTTCATAGCTGAAAACTGCAGTAGTATTTTGTTAATTTTTTTATTCCATAGCTCAAGATTTGATAACAAAATTGTGAAGCTTGCATTTTCAGAAATAAAAATAGGTGACGATGAAAATTGAAATAGGAAAATGATGAATAAATTATATCTGCTGTAAAGTGAAACAATTGAAAAAAAAGTATAAATAAATGATTTTTAATTAAATTTTTTCTGCGTATTAATTTAGGAACAGAAAGGTTTTACAAAGACATAGAATTGATGATTGGATATAAGCCACATGCAATCTGGCATTATATGTGGAAATTTGTAACACCAACTGTTATTTTTGTAAGTAAAGTTTGTCTTTATTTTTTTGTTAACCCATTCAAACTATTAAGACCTTGACACCAAGGTCAATTCTTATAATTAATATTATCTATCACACTTTATTTGAAAACAAATAAAAATATATTTTAAATAGACATGACTATTCGTATATTATAAACAACGCCGAGGAAATGATAATTCAAAGTACCTAGGATTGTAGATAATAAAGATGGTCAATGACTAGAATGTCATGCCTTTGGTTAACTTTTTAATCTGTGATAGATAAAAGTACCGAATGCATTGTCGTCGTGGGTCACTTCATGATTTATAAACAATGGCTCAAAAGAAACACCACTGACCCAATAATTTTACTAATTTCTTAACAAAACAACAATGCTAGATAAATTAAGAATGTATGGGAACAAAATGACAACATAGATAAATTTTATTGACACTTCCATATGAGTAAAAAACTTCAAGCCAATTCGTGTACCCTATACATGCACTTTTGTCTGTTTTTGGTATTATGAGCCATTATTGGAGATAAAACATATTTTGAAAAAGCATTGAACACACAGACTAAAAAGGAAAAGATTTAATTATATACTTCAAACTTCTTCAATGATAAACATAATGTGTATGCTTAGAAGAATAGAGGCAGATAACAAATTTATTATTCCAACATTAAGGGCCATTGATGGACAACATCCCATTCGTATAAACAAACATTACACTATGATTTGACAACACTGTTACACAATGAAATAACATATAACTATATATTAAGGATTACAAATTTGTCGAGTTTTGTGTTTGGACAACTAGACAGATATGTCAGTATGTATTCAGGAAACAGCATTATAAAAACGTTACAGTAATCAATGTACTTCTTACTTCTTTACATTCCGTCTAATATGTAGACATTTTTTGTTAATCCATTCAAACTATTAAGACCTAGGTCATTTCTTATAATTAATATTTACTATCACACTTTATTTTAAAACAAATAAAAACACATTTCAAATAGACATGACTATTCATACATTATATATAATTCAAGGAAATGATAATTTAAAGTACCGAGCAGTGTATACAATAAAGATGGTCAATGACTTGAATGTCATGTCTTTGGTTAAATTTGTAATATGACATCTAGACACCTATTAATATAATTACCAAAATATTTCGCATTGCAGGCAGATCTTCAGTAGTGAATAAACGTATACATTTTGCTTCGTTTTGAGAGGTTTGAAAAACATTGTCCATATTGTTTATCTCTGAAATATATCTCTCTATCATCATTGTATTCTTGACGGCAAATAATTTTTCCTGAAAATTGTTTTCTTTTGATTTTTTTAGATTTTGAAATAAGAATCAAATTTACCCCCATTTATCTGTTCTTTTTATTTTCTGAACTGAAAAATAAAAATACCGAGTTTTTGATAATTGAATTTGATAAAAAGTTCAGCTTAATATCTTAGTTTTGAATATTCACTTTTTTTCGAAATAAAAGGTAATGATAAATAACAGCACTCTATATTATTAGTAACATATTTATGTTACAAATCATACATTTAAACCATGTCACAATCATGTGCTATCTTGCCTAGTCGACATGTATAAGGGGAATCAACCAAATTCTAGAACTGCTAAGTTAAAGGACTTTTTATTATCTACTTAAATATACTTTAACTAAAATGGAATTAATCTAAAAAAAAAATCATTGATATTAATGTGCTGTAATAAACATACCTGTAATTTCACAGTCATATACCACAAACAAGGTTTGTTGAATATAATATCTTTGGTTTTTGGTATATTGATATATAAACATCATTTAGAAGAACTTTTGAATAAATAATAAGATTATACAAAAAAAAATTCGACATAGAGTAAACATCTGACTTAAAGTAGTTATTTCTAGTTGCTTTAAGTCCTCAATTTGGCAACTTGTTGTAGACAAAACAAATTTTTGAATTCCTTTATTAAGTGTAGAGAAGGAAATTTTCAACTGATCCTCAATTTTTGTATATAAAAACTAACACAAGAAGCAAATTAAAACAAACAAATTAAATATCAACAGTTTATCTCCCACAAAAAGCAATACTTCATCTTTGTCAAGTTATCTCCACTTTATCATTAATTGTGGATATGTAGCTTTTCAAAACTGTTTTGGTTCTTATACTTCCTTTGCTTTCAAATATAAGGCTTTGAGGGTTCCCGACGAAGGTAATTCCAGAAAAGCGCTTCAGATGCGTGAAATTTATAACGTGTTGTTTTCATTTTTTAGAGACTTGTTAACAAAAATAAAAGTAGCATAAGCTTATATATCATACAAAAAATATTGCTGTGCATTGAGTATGAAGGCATTGCATATCTACAAGCCCTCTGATCATACTTTTTTACATCCCAAGTTATAACATAGTATCATCTATTAGTGTATCATAACTACAAAGTTAACACTGGACTGTATTTGATATTCTTTTATCTTATTATCATTTAGGGAATATGGCTTTTTAGTATAATAACATTGGGTCCGGTGACGTATGATGGAAAAAATTATCCGACTTGGGCCATAGTGTTTGGTTGGATATTAGGAATAGTTTCACTTGTCCCAATTCCTCTTATGATGATTATTCAAATCATTAACACTGATGGGGATACAATAATTGAGGTAAGCTTATCATAGGGCTTAAAACATTGGTCACAAAATAATTAAATTGTTTTATCATTTAATAGACATTGCTATTTAGTTATGGATCTGTAATTGCCTATTTTGCTGTTTTAAGTCATGGCAAAACGTTGAAACCGTACACGTTATGCATTTGTCATTTCGACAGTTTGCACTTCAGTTAAAATACTTGTTGTAAATATGTTAACCAAAAGATCTACCAGTGAGGCAAGTGCGCATTATTATTTGAAAATAATATAGATATAAGAAGATGTGGTATGAGTGCCAATGAGACAACTCTCCATCCAAGTCAAAATTTATAAAAGTAAACCATGAAACATCTTTACTTGTAAAACAGCAAACAAAAAACATTCATTATCATGATTTATGAATCTTGCATTTTAAAATCGCTGATATTCATAATACGTATTGGAAAAATTCCAATTTCAATTTGTCTTTTTCAGAGAGTCAAAAAATTAACTGTACCTGCCAAAACTTGGGGTCCAAGTATGGAAGATGACAGAGAAATATACATACAGTCACTGTCGCATAATACATACACACTTTCTAACATGGACGGTAGTCCTGTAGATTGTGAAGAAGCCTTACTACAGCATAAACAAAAAATTGGTGATTAAACATTCATATACCTCACAAAGAAAGGCTAAATAAATGGATTAAATTTTAGCTGGTTGGTATCTGCAACATGGTATATGCGAATTGAATTGAAGATGATTAATAGTAAAGATAAAATCAGTTTTTACGAAAATAAAAAAAAAAAAGAAATTTAAGCCATTAAGAAATATATACTTCGAGTTTTATCATTAGTTCTTTATTTCTTTACGATGAATTACACGAAATTACATGAACGGTACCAATTTTTTCTGCACAAGATGCGCCTTTCGACAATAACTGTCTCTTCAGTGATGCTGGAGGCCAAAATATTTGAAAATCCAAAGCTTATTAAAATAAATGAAGAGCTTATAGACCAAAAAGGACAAAATGTATAGCCAAGGTCGGGCAAGGAAACAGAGCTTTGCATATGGGAGATATATTCCTTAATTTAAAACAATTTCTAAAATTTTGTAGAAGCAAAATTAATCTTAATAGCACAAAATCCGTATTTTCATGCCAATACAGAAGTACTGGATACCGGGCTGGTGATAACCTCGGGAACTAACAGTCTACCAGCAGACGTATCGACCCAGTGGTAGTAATTACATTACATTAACGGTACCAGTTTTTTTTTCTGCACCAAATGAGCATTTCGACAAAAAATGTCTCCTCAATGATGCTCGAGGCATATAATAATATATATATTTTCCAAAATTTTGTAACAGCAAATTTCAATAACACAAAATAGTGTTCGGCAAACATCAGATTTCTTTTTTTTGAAATGTATATATGTTTTTATTTTAGATATGAATAGCTCATCGTGATAGATGATAATAACAAAAGAAGTGGACATTCCAAAGGAGTTGTTGCAAGGTTATAAAAATGAATATTGTTATGGATAAAATTTATAATTTACTTTTAAAGACTGTATTATGTTGCTTCTGAGGTATTGTATTGTCATTGCCTTATGAAATTTAGTTTTATATTCTTTCTAAATCACACTGAAGGCATATGCTACAATTCAAGTCTCGTATATTTTTTTTTATTAAAACTGTCGGATTTTCTAGGTACTAGTATGAAATTTTGTTAAGTTTGTTTAATCTTAAGCAATATTTATATCAGAAAAGCGATTGTTCTGTTGATTATCATAATGAAAGATGTATATCATTTAAAAAAAACTTTTAGTATTTGTTAGTTTGATGTTTAAAATTACCCAAATAAAAATGTAAAGCTCACCAAAGTAATACATCCATCAAGTTTACTATAATCAACTAAATGAAACTTTGCACAAATATTCTTTTTACAACCACAGTCATATTCTAAAATTAAACATAATTGTCACTAGATTTTTTTTTCTACATAGCTGCATTTTAAAAATAAATAACTTTTGTTATATGGCAACAATACATATTTGTAGAGGACGTCTCCAGGTTGATATTGTGCACGTTTTGACTGATGTAATTTTAAAAACCATTCATGTCACATGTGAACAAATTTTATATAATATATATGTTTCTTTTTTCTAATATGAATTTTTTGGTATTTAATTAATTTATCTTTTCAACAATTTTAATGACAAAACTTTGCAATCTTTACAAGTGCATTAATATTTTTACAACACTCATCTTGCATGTGAGGAGGTACACCAAGGGCCTTAATTGGTCTGAAATTAAAGTATTACAAAATCATGTACTGTTTGTGTTTTAAAGATTGATAGGTATTTCCAAATTTTTTATCTGTAACACCTTTAAAATTGTATGCATTTACATTAAGATTTTAAAATAAAAAGATGGCACTCTTAAATATTCTCAACAAAATGACCCCAAATTTAAACATATTTGAGAGTGGAAAATCTGAAGCATATTTAAGCTCCAAGTTAATATGCATGGCAGTTGTTGTTCATATAGACACACACTGTGGTATATTAGTGCTTGTAAAGGTTTAATTTTGCAGGTCCTAAAATTATTTGAAAATTGAAAAAAAAAAATTATGCTTTTCACGACTACGCTCTGACTCCTATTTATCATTTTGTATTTTTTTAAAATTTAGAATAAACTTTGAATTCAATCTAAAGTTGAAAAAAGACCACATAAGGCTCACAGCACAACATGTCCTTTCTTGATATTCTATTTTAAATAAATGTTGGTTTTATGAATTAAAAAAATATTCTGTGTATGAGATGAAAACCTATTCTGATACAATATGTTTCCAGAAATCCAACCAAGTGTTCAAGTCTGTTTTTCTTTTTATTGTTTGTGTTATAACAACACTTATTCGTTCTGTATTGAAATCCAACTCGAAGTTATGATATATCTATCATTTTAATGAATAACATTATTAAGTTAGTTATATTCATTAAAGTATCCATTCTTTTGTCAATACAAATATATTATACCATGTATGTTTAGGTATCAATATTGTAACCAGGCCATACACTGCATTCTCTTGGACTGTAGTATTTATTGATCATATATATGGGTGGCAATAAATGAGTCACTCCCGGTATTTTTTTTCATCCTGATTAAGTGACAGTTCGATTAATTCATTGCATTTTAATTTTTCCTCCTAATTTTCTTTTTATTATTCATTTGTACAAATATACACATTTCATAAATTTATATGTAGTATACAAGTAGCACCAGGAAAATTGGTGATGCTTATATTTATGATTTGAAATACACACAAATTGTTTTATGTATTTGCATAACATACTAGCTGCTACCGGTATTTTTTTCCGTCCTAAAATGAAACTCAATTAAATATGGAGACACAAATATAATGATATATTTTGATTCAAATTTACATAAAATGGGTTTCTTCTTAGATGTCAGTATCAATCTAATTAGAAGTTTCCGGACAAGCGACTTAATACTAAATTAACGTTGATGTATTTGTGTTCAAGCATTAAACGAAAGACAACTCAATCACAACATGGCACGTTGCAATTATTTTATTCATGTAAGAATGAATTAATATTGGACTGCCTTACACAAATACAATCATCTTTGAGTCAAAAATGTCCTAGTAAATGATTAGTGCAAGGAATTATTTTAGAAGAACGTGTACATCGTAAAGTTATAAAATATTATTTGCTGAATTGGGTTTATTTACATTTGATATGAATTAATAGTAAGCAGGTTATTTTAACATAATTGGTGATTTTAAACTATTTTTCAGCAGTACCATTAAAGTAGCAGGCGCCAAACATTAAAATGCTTTCATTGTTCCCAGGAACACATATAACTTGTTCCTAGCTAGTTCATGTCCAAAACTGTCTTTTATTCAGAATTGTTTTTTTATCATGATGTATTGATTGTTACTATATACTATTTTAATAGATTGAGTAATGAACCAGAAGTGAAAAAATAAGTGGGCATTCATTTCACATTATTCTAGTCTAATTCATTGTACCCAGGGAAAACATATGGATATTGTCTATCAAGTTCAGTTACCCGTAATATTACTATACTATTACTGTGGTTAGCTTTTTTAACAGTATTAATCAACTTTATCTAACAAGTCTTACACTGCTTTTACAGTATTAAAATCACTTAATATAAAACATCAGAACATTCCCTTTTGTATTTCACTTCTTTATTCCATAATGTCATATCTAAGATAGGGAAGAGCTCAGCATATCCGAAGACGGTTCTTTTTGAAAAAAATGTTCATGTTAGTTCTTGGATTATGGGGCTATTTGTTACAGGGCTAATTATGAATGTAATTATCTATTTTTTTTTATAGCAGACACAAAATGCACTTCATTCAGTCTCTTGCTAAATAAATCACAAATTGCATATTAATGACAATCGTTGTATTAAAATGTCATAAAAGGAAATATGTTATCAGTTCTAGTTCAATAATAACGTTAATATTGGAGATTTTTTTTACAATATATGACTTTTACAAAAAAATAGGCATCAAACACATATATGAATGCAATCTATGATGAGTTATGTATAACATGTAAATGTATGTTAACCAATTGTTTGTGTATCCTTAGGTTACTTATGTAGTATGTATCATACTTTTTTCGCTTAACAACATTTTTTTTATGCCTCAGATCATTGTTTGCATAGACAAAATATTTGATTTGAAGGTAGAAATAAATATATATATATATTTATATATATTAATGTAGAATGTCTAATGCTAATAAACATTTAAACACAAAGCTGTTTTTTCTCGTGCTTTATATCATTGTTTCTGTCAAAGTGGTTAGCATCTTATCACAATAGTATATCATTTAGACTCAAATTTATTCTGTAGTTTTTTTTTTAAACATAACACTAATTCTGTTTGAATAGGGTGAAGATTTTTAGATAGTTCATCCTTTCAAAATTGACATTGATTTGCATTAAGAACATTATTCGAAAAGTAAGGACATTCTGCCCCGTTCTAGCGATTGGCCTTTTTGCAAGGTGTTTCTTTCATTTTAGCTTTTCAACATTAATTTTTCGCTCTGGGATTTAAAATTTTTTGCAATTAGATATAGCTGTATAATTGCTTAAGACGACATAACATCTTCTCAACTAAAATCTGAAGGACAATGATGAAAAGATATAATACTGCATCAGTGGGAATGACAGATGTTTTGGATAACCTTTATTAGGAAAACTCGAGACAAAAAGTTCGAAAGCAAAACAAGTTATGTCAGTTGACATCGTTACTAAAAAACTTTGCTTGAGGGACTTCAAACTTTAGTTTTAGTATGATGATTTAATTGATAAACTGATAATAAAAATCAAAACTAGCACTTTAAATCATTCCAGAACTGAATCACTGGCTACTTGAAGGATTGTTCTCATGGAGTAAAACAGTTCATCAGGAAGAGTTATTCTAGGAACATTGTTAAACTACCAAAAAAACAAAAAGTAACGTTGACGTACCACTGTTTGCAGAACAACAATTGTTTTAGCGGTGTCCAATATACATTGTAACTTACGTTTGTGGTCAAAGTGTTCTCTTTTTAAAAAGAGGGTTTCATGTTTATATGCACTTCATTCGTGTTCATATAACACAAAGTCATATTTAACAGAGCACACTCAAAACAGTGTAAATGTCAAATTACATTTTAAGCAGAAAGTTATACTATAGAGGACGCTGTTTAAATTCCCCAAATCAATTATATATTTTACGACCAAACAATTGGTTTTGGCAAGTTGCATAGATAATGATATGCAATACAAAATAATATCCAATACTGAAAATAAATCATTATAAGCTTTAAAACACTTTTTAAAGTTGAAGAACTTTTTTTTGACGACTTTGATAGTAGGTAAGTTATGATTGACTACAACGGTCAGTCAAAATAAGTTTACCATGGACAATCGAAAGACAAATTATATGATAGACACATTCTGGCCTCGTGACATTATCTCAGTTAAAGATTGGAACATAAAAGTAACGGAGAGAATAAATCATTCCCTTTCCTTTTTTTCATAATTTGGCCATCTTCTTGTGCGCATGGTGACACCAAGGTTCATATTTACCTTCTGCAAACTCTCTGTATTGACACATTAGAAATTTGGGTCGGATGTGGAACATTGAATTAGACTAGAATAATGTTCAAGGAATGCCTATTTCTTTTTTTCAGTTCTGGTTTATTACTTAATCTTTAAAAAAGTTATAATACAGCACATATTGATGTTGTAATTCTAAATAAGAGACCGTAAGGACATGAACTTGCTATGAAAAAGTTATATTTTTCCTGGTCACTTTTCATTAGACCATATTGATATTAAAATGAAGTATCACTTATTTTTCATTTTTTGGTTAACTACTCTTTATCCAACATTCATGCACTAACAATTAAAACCCATCTTTGTGAGGTTTTGATGTTTGACGCCTGCTATTTATGTGGTCCTGCTGACAAACAGTTTAAAAAATACCATTTTGTAGGACAATTATCTAATACTCAAAATTTAGAGCCTTTTGACACATGTTTATCATCACGACCTCTTGAAGTTGGTTCATGTCAGGAATATGATTGATTATTTATGGTCATCTATGTAAACCGATGTATCCAACCTTTCCTTTTTCTCGGTTTATGTACAAGTACTTAATTTGATTCTTAAGTACTATATTAGACTAATATGGGCGTGTATGCTTTGAAATGCTCAGGGTAATCGCAAATTACAGTCGGACAAGTGGAAGGTAGGGTGTCATAAACCTAGTTCAACCCTCAAGTGTACGAATGGCTAACTAGTAATATAAAAGCAGTTTTACATGGTTGATAAAAATGCCAATACGTTATAGTTTTCCGCGTTATTATGCGGATATTGAACTTTGACCTTTGAATTTATTATGTATTTGCAGATACATTCGTTATTTCTCGTGGTACGCGCGGTCTCTTGAAATATTTTTTTCTTCTTCATAAAATGTCAGTGAAATCTTATATAAAGAATGGAAAATAATAAGCTCTCGAAAGAGTAGTCAATAAAAAATATTCCGATAACACCAAGGGCAAAAGAACAAGATAAAAACAAATGTATAGGGAAATTGCACTGAAAACTGAGCAACACTCATTAAAACGTGACGTTAACTCATATGCTTCTTGGGGGTAAAAAGTTTCTAATTTCAAAAAAATTGCTTATGACATGTATACATTCTGTGATAAATTAGAGGCAACTGTATTTTACCGTTGTTTAAATCTCATAAATCAATGAAGAAGATACAAATCATGGTAAAATACAAAAATTTAGGGAATCCAAGAAAGAGCGAGACCGGGTGCGTCGACAGGGGGAAACGTATATTAAACGTAACATATCCGTGATCATAAGTGAAACTGATATTTAGCAACAGTCTACAAAGTCATTAGGAATAATGTTGTGACTCCACTTTACCAAGAGAGTCGTCAGTAATATTCTAAATATAGTATCCCAAGAATCATGCATGAGTACCTTCCTTGTTCACTTAACCTTATAACTGGGAAATCCTAATAGGGAATACAAACACTATAATAACATATTTATAAAGAGATTTGTGGTGCTGCCCCAATGCTACTACATATAATATATGTAACACTCAGAAACGTGTCCATCCCCCAAACGTGTCCATATAAAGTCACTAAACTGCAAAACATGTCTAGTTGCTAAAGGGCACCAAAGAGTGTCCTTTTTATGAACGCCCAATCGTGTCCATTAAAAAAAAACGCCTAAACGTGTCCATATGAGACCAAAACGTGTCCCTTTTATGTGAACGCTCAATCGTGTCCCTTTTATGTGAACGCTCAATAAAGGCAATAGTAGTATACCGCTGTTCGAAACTCGTAAATCGATAGAGATAAAAACAAATCCGGGTTACAAACTAAAACTGAGGGAAACGCATCAAATATAAGAGGAGAACAACGACCCAACAAAAACACAACATTAAAATGTAACATACACAGAAACGAACTATAATATAACAATGGCCATTTCCCTGACTTGGTACAGGACATTTTAAGAAAAAAAATGGTGGGTTGAACCTAGTCAATCGTGTCCATATTTTATAAACGCCCAAACGTGTCCACCCTTATTGAACAGTGATTCGTAATCACATATGTTGTAATTACAAATCCAATCGATATTATTATTACAGGAACCTTAGTTTTGATTTGTTGTTGTGAAAAAGGGACAGTTACTAAAGCCCAGACACCACTTCTGTAGGCAGCAGGCCGTGAGATAACCTCATAAATTATGGCTCTGGTCTGGCTGTGGTTTAAGATCTTAGAATTTAGCTGATTATTTTCGTATTATCTATATATGATTATCAACATTTTTGTGTCAATTATTAAAATCTTTGTAATAATCAACTGTCAAGAGTTAATTTATGTGTTGCAAATTAACTTGCAATCATGCTAAATATTAACAACCGGCTTTAAAAAAACTGATGCTAATACAGTTAAAGAACTGGGAAAACGTTTTTGTTTTCTTAGGTGTGAAGTACCTGTAATTAAAATTTAAAACAATTAATAGTCATATTGATAAAACAAATAATAACATCACTGCAAGTAAACATAATTTTTTTATAGTGCCACTATTTTTCTTATCTGGTGTATGTTTATTTGGAGGCAGAAGTCAGTGATTTCATCTTTCACTGTAGATAGTGTACCATGTCTTGGACATTTGTCTAAATGCATCACTACATTTTCCCTTAAAATGTCCTTGGATAGCAGCTTTGGTCTTTTTTAGAATCCTGCAACCAAAACAGATCGTCTTCAATCATGTCCCCAACCATTTAATTGCCGTAAACGTTATTGACGTCACTGAGGACAGTTTATCGCTAAAAGTTTTGAGACGTTCTGGCGTTATAAAGTGGACATGTTTTGGCGAATAACAATTATCAAATCGGACACGTATGGGGAGATGAATACGTTTGGGAGTGTTACATACATATATGAAATTTCACGATTAGAAAATGAAAGTCGTCATGTTTTTGTCGAAAATATAATACTCCAGGTCAAAATTATCTCTGATTTGTCGGAATTAACTAAAAGGATATTACGCATGATTCGTGGGATATTTTATTTAAAATGTAAGTATCAAATGGCAAATTAATTTCAATATTTTGCTAGTGTTACATGCTAAAATGGATTTACTTACCCGAAGGTAGCGATTGAAAGACTTTAATTAAAAATATAATAAAAGATCTATTAAAAGTGTCTTTACGTACTGCTTACTTAGACCCCGTTCACACTTGTAATTTTTGAATTGATCTAAATAAAAACCGTTAGCGTTCACATTATCTTTAGGTAGCAATACATAGTTAGAAGTTTAGTTCCGCATTTTGGCCATAGTGAATCTTTTAAATATGAAAGTTTTTGTACAGTAAAATTGATTTTTAAATAGCTGTAGATTGTTGCCATGGTTACACCAAAAAGAGATTATATTTCACCCTTTTAACTATTAGAAATCAAACCTATGAAAGATGCTGTTTCCATACATATGCACATACATAACAAAAACTTTAGGACTTATTAGTTAGAAAGCAAGGGACAGAGGGTTGCTAAAAATTATGAGTGTCAATTTTAAGAATTTTTCCTAACTGTGCATTGCTACCTTAACCCTAACACTGTGTATAAATAGAAATATTTAACCAAATTAATGTGTTAATTTCCCGCAAATTGGCTAGCACACGTTGCTAAAGTATAATTGATGCAGTTACTACTAGTGTTTCACTTGAATTACAAGTTCATATGTTGATACTGCTTTTCTTACAGTTTTTGTGATAAATTGGTCATATAGTTTTGCTGCCTTACATGCGCAAAATTTATTTTCGATTCGATCGTACTAGTTTAGATCGATCTCTGTCTTCAGATTTAAGGATAGATCGATTCACATTAGATCGATTCAAACTAAACTATCTCTTTTGGTGTTTTAGTTTAGACCGATTCAAAAGTCGTTTTAAAGCGTTCACAGTGACTTCAATCGATCTAAATGAACCAATCTAGTTTAAATCGATCTAAAGTGAACCGATCTAGTTTAAATCGATCTAAATGTGAACGGGTTCTTATAGATCTACACGTTTTATTGTATTGCATATCAACGAATGACACAGATCTGCTATAAATATCCACTCCGGCGGTCGTAGCTTTACCCATATTAACATTACATAATTATTTTTGATTTTTTCATGGATGCTTCGTCATTGCCTTATTGGATAGAATCATTGTAATTGAATTCAAATAATGCTTATCTGTCTGTTTCATTACATGTTCCATTGTAAATGTTGTTATTATCATTAAAGATGTAATCTAAATAATCATTAGCTGTCTGTTTGATTACCACTGTGTACTATTAATAACATTGACCTGGTTATCGACATCATATCGTCTCATCAGCAGCTCTACCACTGCATAGTCATTCGGTACCTGTACTTTAATCAGTCTCATCGCATATGTCACCGAGATGTGCTTTTGTTATCTTATGCTGACCGAGATTTGTGTAGCAGTATCACTTTACATATATATTAACTAAATATATCATTCATGACAGATGAAGGTGTATTGTGGTTAAAGACGTCAATGAACTGTCATATGTTGTTAATTGACAAATTTATTATGTATAGTATAGTATAGAAGAATTATACAAAAAATCACTAAAAGCTGTATTCAAATTGCAAAGATCTTTATCATCTTCCAATCCAAGCATTTCTACTCTATTACATATATATGACCATACAATAAAACCCATTTTAATGTATGGCAGTGAAATTACAGGTATGTTTAAAACTAGCTCTGCAGCATGCCAGAAAGAAAGTGAATATTTATTACAGCACATTTATATGAATGATTTTTTAGATAAATCCAATTTAAGATATATGAAGTATATATTAGGTGTAAACAAAAAGTCTTCTAATCTAGCTGTGATAGGAGAGCTTGGTAGATTCCCTCTATATTTTTCAGTTGTATTGTCAATGCTGAAATATTGGTTTGGAATAAAAAATATGAAAGATGGTTTACTGTATGATACCTATATGTGTAACAAAAACATGTTTAATAATAATATTGAATGCTAGTATTCATCCATACATTACATTTTTAAAAAGCGGAATATTCATAATGTGGAGGTAAAGCTCAACTTGTTTATCAAGTCAGTTAAGCAAAAACTTTGTAATAGTTTTGTAAAATTTTGGAACACAAAAAGAAGAGATACAAAGAGTAGTAAATTAGATACTTATTTCAAACTTAAAACTTGTTTTTCTAAAGAAATGTATCTATCTTTAAACAATTTTCAATTGAGAAGTGCCATATGTAAAATCAGAATCAGTGCACATGATCTCAAAATAGAAAGAGACAGGTATAAAACTTTATATATAGAAAGAGACCAAAGGCTTTGTAAAAAATGTACTCTAAATCTGGTTGAAGATGAACAACATTTTATTACTAGTTGTCCAGCATACAATAATGATAGGGAGATATTTTTCAAGGAGATAAACTGTATCTGTCCCAAATTTATATAACTTTCAAATGAGGCAAAATTTGTTTGGTTATTTACTAATGAAAATTTGTCTATACTTAAATATTTAAGGAGCTATATTATTACATGTCTAGATGTTAGACGAAATGTTAATTAATGTATGTAATAACAATGATAATTGTAATGATTTTATAGTTCTGATCCTGCCTGGAATTAAATGTATGTGATTTTTTTATAGAATGAAGATAATAACATCTGTCTGAACTTTTCAATGTTTCATTTTAATATATAAAAATGTTTTTCTGTTACAAATCATGATGTATTGTTTTATGTGTACATGTTATGTTGCCCGTCAAGGGCCCTTGATTGGAATAATAAATATTCTTATTCTTATTCTTATCAACAGTCATGCCCAATACCTTTGAACGAAATTGACATAAATAGTGTTTTACTCGCAAGATCTTCTGTTCGTATAATACTGTATACAAATGTATGCTTGGCTCTTTCGTTGTTAAAACATACTAAATGTTTTATGCAAGTCATGATCAGCATATTATGGAGATGACATTATGTTCAAGTGATAGTTTATAAGGTACAAGTGTTTCTTGTTATCAACCAAAAGATAGATTGATTTGAAAGCATTATTATGTTGACTTTTATAATTTGTAATACCAGTACTTGAAAACAACTGAGACTAAAAAACTTTCCTCTCCTCTTTTTTTCTCAATCATTCTTCATGGATATGCCTCAGAACAGTTACGCGCGATACAAATCTAGTTCATGAAACAAGACTTAAAAAAAGCAAAACCGGATGAGGAATATTTTGAATTGTAGATCCCGTATATCTCATTATATTTCTCATGACTTCCAGTGGTATGTACATATTGATATAAATACGCACTGTACAGGGAAAATAACTCATTTAGATAGTCGGAGGCAAAATTTAAGAGAGATGAATGAATAAAACCAAAATTTATGTAGGTGACAATCCGACAAGAACTGCTCCAGTTGTACATTATCATATCTAATACTAGTATTAAATTTTTGTAAATTAGATCAAAATCAAATTCACATTTGTACTTCCATGTATTTATCTACATACAATTCCACGGTTACACATAATTTTTATCTAAGCAATAAAATGATAAACCGAAGAATTTGATTAAAAATCAAACAGTGAAAAAAAAAAATTCAGTGATTGTATACTTCTAATCTGTGTTCTAGGGGGGAAATAAAATTAAAAAAAATGTGCAATAAAGAATTTACTAAACAAATAAAAACATTGTTTTCCTGAAATTCTTCAAGATTTGATTGTTGTTTGCTTAACTTTCAGTGACAAATAATTCATAAATACTAGTATTCAATACTTTTTTCTTGGTCTTAGGTATCTGTGGTACTGGGTACAGTAAAGGGATATGTACTTTTGGAGTTTATTAAATAAACAAGCAATACTTAAGTTGTGCTATGAGCCATACCAGTTAGACCCCCCTCTTTCAATAAATGTTGGCAAACTAGTATGCATATGTGTCATGGATATCCGTGGTACATTGTATATTAGAGGCTATGTCTTCCACTTCCTTTGATACCATGCACACGTGGAGAATATCTTAGTATTTCCAACCGACAATACTTATATTGGACTATGGGTCAATCCGAATATCCCCTCTCTCTTTTGACAGGTAAGAACAGTTACGGTTGTCTCATGTGCACAATATATAGGAGAGTTAAAGTCTACCTCTACCTTGGTATCCATAGCTCACGTTGAGAATCTCTTGATGATGCCAGCCAGTAGTATTCTTGATTTAGATAATAACGATACCTTTGCAGTTAGACTATAACAGTAAACGGGTCTAGTGTATCTGTGGTACGTTGCTTAGTAGATCCATGCCTTCAACTGCCTTTGGTACCATAGCTCACATGGATAAGACCAGCCGGCAATACTGACGTTTGAATATATGACATCCCGTACCCCACTTACATACCGGGACTAACTCGAACGGGTCTAGGGTATCTTTTGTACGGTGCATAGTATAAATAATGCCTACCTCTGATAACATTGAACTGTCCCACTTGGATAATCTCTTATTAAGGCAAGCCGGCGATACTTAATTTTCGCTATCGGACATACCGGTGACCTCCCTTCTGTGTTCTGACAGACTAGTACGGTCTAGGGTATCTGTTGTATGGTGCATAGTAGAGGCCAAGCTGTCTCTAACTCTGGTACCATGTCCCACATGCATAACCTCTTAATTGTCATTAAGTCCATATACAATTCTTAGTTTGCACTATCAGACATACCGGTTACCTTCCTTCTGTGTGCTGACAGACTAGTACGATCTAGGGTATCTGTGGTAAGGTGCATAGTAGAGACCATATTGTCTCTAACTCTGGTACCATGTCCCACATGCCTAACCTCTTAATGAGTCCATTTGGCAATTCTTAAATTGCACTATCGGACTAACCGGCTAATACCCCCCCCCCCCCCCCCCCTGGCTGTATGCCGACAGACATTCAGGGCCTAGGGTGTCTGTGGTAAGGTGCATAGCAGAAGTCATTCCTGTCTCAAACTCTGGTACCATGTCCCACAGTCAGAATATTTTAATAAGTCCATTTGGCAATTCTTAATTTGCACTTTCGGACATACCGGTTACCTACCTTCTGTATGCTGACAGACTAGTACGGTCTAGGGTATCTGAGGTAAGGTGCATAATTGAGGCCATGCTGTCCCTTACTCTGGTACCATGTCCCACAGGCTGAGTCTTTTGATAAGTCCATTTAACAATTTTTAATTTGCACTATCGGACTTACCGGTTACCTCCCACTGCTGTATGCTGACAGACTTTCCGGGTCTAGGATGTCTGTGGTACTATGAATATTAGAAGCCCTGCTTACCTCTACACCAGGTTCAATGACTCGCGTCGAGAACTTAAAATAAGAACTACCAACAATACTTAAGTTTGAATATAGAACATACCGGTTCCCCCTTTCTCCATTGTAACAAAAACACATACATCTGGTTAAATAAAAAAATAAAAAATTAATGGAAGATATGTTGGTAGTCTTTGTTGACTTTCTAGACGTCGGGACAATATAGAGCTTGGCTTATCGCCTGTCTACTGTTGTACATCATATGTTAAACTTTCTTCTCTTGTTATGTGTGTTTTGTTTTGTTAATATATCCTAAAGTATAACTTACATCTGGTTTTTTTTAATATTGTAAATTTTAAACAATCTGAATACAAGTTACATAACTTACATTAAGCATAAAACGCGCTTCTAGCTTAAAAAATATACTATTTGTCACACGGTTTCTTTTAGGTTAAAAAATTTCAAAATAAGCTTTCGTTTTTTAAATTTGTAATGGTCAGTAGTATGCTGATCTACAAAAATCACGAATTACATGTTGATGTACTGGGTCTTTCTTCATTTGGAGCTTATGCGATGCCCCCAGGTTTATTTTCTTGGTTTTTATATTAAAATTGGATTTACGAGTTGTGAACATTGGTAAACTACTGTTGCCTTTTCTATGTCTGTACACAGACCCAATTAACCATTTTCCCCCTCTTTAGGACAGGAATAACCAGAGGAATGTAAATAATTTGCATCATATCAAGGTAGGTATGGTGCACATAATAACAATGTTAAGAATGTATTTTTTCTTCTTCTAGACAACTGTTAAAGTGTCCTACACTTTTAATCACATTCCAGAAAACAACAATAACTTACAGTTATGTCATCGTTTTATAAATTCTTGTGAAAAACATTTTCATATAATGTTGCAAATTTATGGATTAACCGCTAAAATAGTTGTCATTATCTATAGAACTTCTTAAAGAAACATAATGAACATCGATAGAAATGGATTTTGAAAAAAAAAAAAATACGGACAAGGAAATATGAAAGTAAAATATTATGTTCCCCGTTTTAGCGCAAGAGGGTTTATTTTGTTACAAAATGTACGCTTGTTGCCATAATCTTCTTTTAGTTTAGTATTACAATAACATGGAATTTACGCGCAATTTTCAACAAATTGAAGAAGAAATATAAAACTGGTGGAAGATTTAATGTCGAAAACAGAAATTCCGAAACCATCTGAGGTTAGCAGTCCGTGAAGGAGTGGCAACCTTATATTTACTTAAAATCAAAATAATTTCGAAAATGAACACTTAGTTTAAATGTATCATTAAATTCGATATTTTACAGGTGTACAAGTTACTTATGCAATTTGAATTCTATACCGTCTTCGTCTTTCTGTAAGTTAGAAAAAATATATCTACATTTCTGGTTATGTCATTTTGATGTGTTTCTTCCTTGTGAGAGTAAATCCAGAAAAGAATATTTAAAAAAAACCGTAAGCGGGCTAATGTTTGTTTTGTTTCGGGTTAAACCAACAATGTCTTACTAATTAGACTAAAAACTAATCAAATATACTACGCAAAAATGTGAATTTCATTGACGACTGGTTTGTCGATCTTGCCAGAAAATGTGGACTAGATTATTTGAAATGATCTTGGAGTTACGTACATTCTTTTTGAATAATTTGAATACTAGTATTGTTTTGTTTATGTCTGTCAGATTTTTTCATACTTATCTAACCATTCTACGGTATTCTAGCAAAACAGTTAAATGTAAATATAAAAAAAATAATGTAATAGTGCAATATGATCTCAGAGGGAGAACGGTTAGGGAAGTATGTCATTCACTAAGTAAATGAAATACTTCATACAATAATTTATAACATGTCAGGATTCAGTGTTGGAGATGAGAATAAAGAACGATCCAAGTATTGTTTCTTGTGTTGTATTACTGTATGATAAGGAGGCCATTCATTATAGCCAAAATAAAATGTGCAAGTCGTAAATGAACATGCAAAATATATTTGACAAAAGTAAAATGCATGCACTATTGTAAAAGAGACGCAGAAGGGATAATCAAGTCGATGACAAACTGAAAACACCATGGCAAAAAACTAAAAACGACCGAAAATTAAACATCATTTTACAAAATACAACATAGAAAACTAAAGAATGAGCAACACGAACTTCACCTCAAAGAACGGGGGTGATCTCAGATTCTTCGGATAGATAAGCAGATCCTGCTCCACATGTGAATGTGTTAATAGTATACTTAATTGAATTGATTTTAGTTTAAAAAGATTTCCAATAGCGCACTTAAGGATGTACTTAGGTGAAATTTAAAAAATCTAGAATTTAAAATTGATACTATAATTTGGAAGAGCATTATTCAAGGAACAAAATAAGCTAAAAATATTTTTCGAGATATTTAATATATTTCAAATGGCGGGAAAAGGCTGACTCGGAATTTTACCTTATATTTGCATTGGTATTATTTGGGTCTCAAATCGAAAGAAAAGAAATCTAGAATGTGCTTAA